CGTATTCAATGAAATGTGCATATATATATATATATATATATATATATATATATATATATATATATATATATTATTATTATTTTTAAAAGAATATGATTTCTTATGCTACCTTAGACAAAAAAAAAACGCCTAATATGTAAATCCAACAATTAATTAGGAAATCTGTTATTAATAAGCGTTTGTTTTACGGTGTTTAATCCTTTAAAGAAAAGCGTGCCAGACGATGAATTCTCGTTTATATATATATATATATATATATATGATTATTATGATTATTTTTAAAAAAATATGATTCCTTCGCTACATAAGAGTTCTCATGTTTCAAAAACGAGAGACGAAACCCTCAATATAATAATTTTTTTTTCCATCGGGGAAACCTCTTCTATAGCCGAAGCGTGGTAATACTAATTTGGCCACAAGAGACCCTGTTGCTAGAGCAATATTTGAATTACCTATTTCAGAAACGCATATCGCATCTGCGAATCTATATATCTGCTTTATTTTCCTACCAGAAATGTTATTTTTTGTCGGACTTTTAGACAAATCTTACAACACAAGGCAGATTCAATAAATCCGTACCTTGACCCCTGATTATTTTCTAAATACTGATCAGAATTTATAACTGAAATTTAATAAAGAGAAGATGAATTTTTACCTTATTTTCAAAAGAAAAAAATTATAAAATCCATTCAATGCTTACAGAAGCATTTTGTCTACCGGCTTAATTTAGATCTATAGCTTAAATACAACAGCTTCAAGGACCGATAAGCAGTTGTCGACGTCGATGAGTTTAGCAGATTAAAGTTAACAGATGAAGGGACGGGAAATATTGCAAATGCGTATTGTACACTGCGTGTCGTAAAATGTCCTCTCTAATTATAGTGTCGTAGGATTGATGAAAAGGACTTTTAGCATGTTATGTTATGAGGATGTTATATGTCTGGGATTGATTTGTGGAACTTCGTTATTATGATGATTAAAAATAAAATATAAATCAATAATAATAATGCAATTTATAAATAAAAAAATAAAATTTAAACCTCGTTTAAAATAAATAAATAAAAAATAAAAATAATAAAATTACTCCCATCATGCAACGGGCACTGTTTATGCCGGAAGTACAGACATCCCGCCAAGAGACGTGAGATTCAATCTCTTCGCTCAAGGATTATTAGGATGAAAACATGTGTGTAACCTTTCTCCGTGATAGGACTTTTGATATTACGGAGTGACTACCTCCGTTTTATAACATGAAAATGAACACACTTGTAATGTAAAACACACACAAATACGTAAATAAAATTGTATAAAATTACCATATAATTTACCATGTTTTTAGTTGTTATTATGTACGTCTGTTTGTTTTGCTTTTCCTCGTGAACACAGACACAATTTTTATGACCACATGGTGTGAGGGAATAAAACCCAACACATTACTGTAGTCTTCGTGAAAACTGTCGATGAAATTTTGCGATGAAATTTTTGTATGCAGGGAACTCAAGCACCAAGCTACCATCTTAATTCGTTATGAACCCTGGAATTGTTAGACTATTTTTAAGACAAGCAACACTCGTTGAAGCCGAAATATACAAAATGAAATAGGGGAAAAACGAGACAAGTTTATATGAAAAGTAAAAGGGTAGAAAGAAAGAAAAAAATGATGAAGAGAAGACAATTTCTGTAAACAATGATTGAATACATAAAAATTAATACAAAAAACAATGATTGAATACATAAAAATTAATACAAAAAACAATGATTGAATACATAAAAATTAATACAAAAAACAATGAAGGTCTTAATGTGAACGATTCAACTAACAGAACAAAGAACGAATGAAACAGTGGTCAGTGAAAAAATAAGGAACGGATGTCTCAGTTATTTCCCTTTAACCAAGTTTTGGTTCACCATTGCTGTGGCTTGGAATGAACTCACAACGCTTTGGGCTTAGTCAGTGGATCTAACCAACGTCTCTATCCACTGCTGAGATTGAGTCAGGCAAACCAAGAAAATACTCACTGATGGATAGAAGACATTTTCGCTGAACAGTGAATGGGGGTATAGAAAAACAAACAAAAAAAAAAAAACATTAAAACTGCAATAAGAAAGAAAGAAGAAAATAAAGAAAGATTAAAATGTAAAAAGTAAAAAAAATAACGGTTTACCTAGGATTCAAACACTCATTTAAAATATTATAGACATACCACTTATTTTTTAATCTTCTTCTTATATAGTAACTTTTTTTGGGGGGGGTCTGGTTTTCATAGGATGAATCAACATTTCTTTTTAAAGTTTTAATTTGTAAGTTTCAAAATTGAAAGCATTATTTACATCATTCGGACAGTTATCCTCATCTTCATTGTCATATTCACAATTTTGGGGCCTTCTTCAAGTAATTACTATTTCGAACCCATACCCTTTATTTCATCCGCTGGAGTAGATTGTTCTAGTTCCACGTGCCGTGTCTCTTCCGGGTGTCTCATTTATTTCCCTTTAATACAACTCTCCAAGTTTTTGGTTCACCACTGCTATGGCCTGGTATTGAACTCACAACTCTTTGGGCCTCGTCATTGGATCCAACAAATGTCTTCATCCACTGCTGAGATTGAGTCCGGCAAACTATGAAAATACCCACTGATGGACAGAACACAATTTCTCTGAACAGTGAATGGGGGTATAGAAAAAAAATATAAAAATATTAAAAATGCAATAAGAAAGAAAGAAGAAAATAAAGAAGGATTAAAATGTAAAAAGTAAAAAAAAAAATAAGGAACGAAAGAGTTAAAATGTTTACCTGGGATTCAAACACCCATTTAAAATATTATAGACATGCCAGTTATTTTGTTTTTTAATTTTCTTATAAAGTACCTTGTTTCTACCTGGTTTTTATAGTATTAAGCAACTTTTTTTTTAATTTAATTGAAAAAGTGAATTCAAATCCCAACGTTAAAAAATTAATTTGTAAGTTTCAAAATTTAAAGCATACAAAAATAATTTTCATTCCATTTTCATTAAACAAATAAAACTGCTTTTAATTCACATTAATTTGTTGTCAGCACCCGCTCGCATGCGATCATTGGGATCGTCATTCCATCTCCTTATTCCCTTTGTACCCGCTGGTGGCGGTGGAGGAGATGGCTGTGAATCAAACAGAGTTTGACGAGGCCATTTGTGTGGATTTGATTTTGGTGGATAATTCTGCTGGGTGGAGAAGCCACACACTTTGCCAGAAGCGCCTCCCTCACGGCTCAAAGGGGATTGAATTAGGAAAACCAAGGAAAAACCCGCTGGTGGATGGAAGACATTTTTCTCTGAACAGTTAATGGGGTATTTAAAAAAAAATTAAAAATGAAATAAGAAAAAAAAGAAGAAAAGCAAGAAAGAAAGATTAGAACTGAACGAAAGAAAGAAAGAAAAACAGAAAAGACAGAAAGAAAAATGAAAGAAAGATGTAAAGAAAGGACAATCGAAAAATGGAAAGAAATATACAGTGAAAGAAAGAAAGAAAGGGAGAAAGAAAGAAAGAAAGAGAGAGAATGTCATGTTTTTGTTGATCGTTCCTCTTTTCTCATTTTAGGCAATACCCACAAGTAAAATATCTCCGATTGTCAAAACTACAAACGGGTATTTTTTTTATTCTCCTTTTTGTAAGGGAGGGGTAGAAACAGTTATGAATGGGAGAGAGAGAGGGAGAGGCACTAAAAAGATCTCAGTTAGAGGAAGAAGCTGCCCCCCTCCCAAAAAAAAAGAAGAAAATAATATTTTTTATCTTTTGCAAACTTAGATGAGTTTCGGGAGTGAAAAGAAAAAACAAACAAAAAAAAAAACGTTTTTACCCCTAACATTTATTAATTCACTTTTTGTTTTAAACCCCGTAAACTCTTTTTGGCTTTCAGGGTATATCATCGCAAATATCTTTTTTATGAGGTACACTTAATATCCTCATTAGCAACGGGGTTTCATTCACCTTGCCTGATTGGCAATCAACTGTACAGGGTCCTGTCCGTCCTTATGATTAACCTCATGATGGGATGTCGGAAAAGAAATGAATTTATATCTTTCCAGTTGTATTTTTGTAAAAACGAATTTGAACAGAAAATACCAAATTCTCTTTCCGTGCTGGTATTTGCAACTCGACACACCCATCGATGTTTGTTCATTTGAAAATAAGAAATAAATAATAAACAAATAAAAAAATCTTGTTATTGCCAAAAATATTTTCAAAATGTAAATATGTTTATTTTTAATATATTTTTAGGGTGGCTTACAATGAAAGAAAACGGATTGTTATTTTTCGAAAATTCATGAAAAATTAAAGCTGTCAATGATTATAATAAAAATGTAATTATCTATTTACCAATGATTTATTTGGATTCTTGCAATAAAAGAAAATGTATTTAATATTCGAAATTCTAAAACCGTGAGTATGTGATATAATGAAAGTACGTTAATTTTTATTTATTTATTTATAACCTATTTGGAGAAGGATAGTAAAAACACCTTATCTCTTAAACTTAAAGAATACAACGATTTTTAAATGATATAATGGATTATTTGTTAATTATTTATTTGATAAATAAATGTGATTTACTAATCGATCCACAAAAATCAACGGTTTAAAAAGAATATATTAAATCGAGGCTGTTTAAGCTTGTATTCTGTATCGGACTGTGGTAACCAAAGAAAATGGCCGACATCCGGAAGTTGAACATATTTTTTAGGATTAGACCAGAATATGATTATTCATTTATCAATTAGTTTTTAAACTGACAATGTTCATTTATGAATTAATATTGAATATAAATAGAAGTAAAAAGCTTCATAAGCGAAATTGCCAACATTTTGAAACTAAGAAAAAGAAAAAGACGTTAAAGGATAAAATCAAAATTCGATTTACTTTTTTTTAAATAGTCCACGTCAATTTTGAAGCTACAATACTTAAAGATAGAAAATAATGATTTTATATAATAAATCCGTCTTATATATTTCGCGTTTAGGCTTCCGGTCATATCCCGTTGAAACACCTGTTCCCGTACGACCACCGAAGTTAAGCAACATGGAGTTGGGTCAGTGGAGCCTAGATGAGTGACCGTTTGAGAATAACATGTGTTGTAAACTTGGATGTGTCGATATTCTAATGGATAACGGCCTGGGCATTGTAAATCGGAAAGCCAAGTTCCAATACAAGTTGGGTTCGTTACGGTAGAGTAATGGATAACGGCTCTGATTGAGGAATCGGAGAGCCGAGTTCGAATTCCAGTCGAATCCATTACATTCACTTACGTGTCAATACCCTTGGGAAAGGTATGAATCCTCTTCTTCTCCCCCATCCCCAGCTATGGGTAAATTGCAGGATAGACCGTGTTCTATAGTCTTGGACGGCAACTGGTCTACCACAGAAAGAAATGGCAACCTACTGCGGGAAAAGAAATCTGCTTCGGCAGTCATGTATCGAAAGATACATGATCACCTAAGCGTGTATCACGCATGGCACACAACTAACTGATATTCACTTACGGGCTAATATCCTTCGGAAAGGTATGAATCCTGTTCTCCTCCTAGATCTGGATTAATGAGTAAGACTTGTATCACTAATCAATATTATTTCAAAAAAGTTCTTACAAACTATTTTCCGGCTTTAAATAACCTGCAAAGGGTTGACAACCCGTAAAAAACGAATGAGTCAATATTCAGTGTTTAAAATTGGACAAATTTGTTTTTTTTGAAAAGAAAACAAATATGTTAACTATATATAATGGAATTGCTGCTCATTTTTACTCAAACATTCTCATATCTTCGTTGTCTCAAGAAAAAAAAACGATATTTTTAAGGTATAAAATCAGATATGATTATCTGTTTAATATTATTAACTTCTAAACAAAATTCAAAACAGAAGAAGGAAATCTTCGAAACTCAAGACGTTTGTGGTGATAAAATCTGTTCGAGTTATTTCCCCTTGCTATTGCAACTCTTCTACACTTGTAACTATAAAAGGCGTCTATACAGGGCCATTTTATAGTTCAATAATGTTTGAGTAAGCACCACTCTAATTCTATGCATATTTGTCGGGGCCGCCTTTGACCTCTTCCAAATACAAACGAGTAGGACACTTCGTCCTTGACATTTTTACCGTGTTCAATACACCCTGTGTAATTTAATTTCATTTTCTTTTAGAATAGCTCTAACGATTTTTTAGTTCCTTTTGTGCTACGAACCTAGCCGACACTCTTTACACCTTCGTTTTTCGTAGTAAATATCAGCTTATTTTTAGTATTTTGCGAGATCTGTGGCTGTTGTTGGTCTCCCTTAATATAACGCGGCGACTTTTCGCCAAATTCGGAGTTGGTCGGAGAAAGGAGGTGAAGAAACGCAGCCCCCACCCCCTGGCCATTGTAGCCAGGGTGCTTGGACGGGCTGTGTATTAAGTTACGTTCCCATATTTTTTATCTGTTAACTGGACACGAGCTTACATTTTTTCAGCTTGCTGGTCGAAATCTCTGCCTCTGAGATGAGAGGAACCCGGACGAGGCTATGCCGAAGGACAGAGTCCTGTTAGGGGAGGTAGACCGACCCGATCCCTTTTATGCGGGGTTTACAGGATTGTTTGGCTCGGGAACCCCGCATTAAATTTGGCCTTGTGCCACATGTGACTGCGTGGGGAAGTTCCTAAATACACTTGACACTAGTTGCTTTTTTTTTTTACTTCTATCATACTTCTGGCTTCTTGCGCATTTCAACTCTCGAGATTCTGTCCCTACTTGCTGCCAGTACGTCGTCCATAACCTTTGCCGTACACTACGGTTATAATACTATGGACTCGACCAGCAGATATACAATGCCACCAACGGACACTGGATCTGACTACTAACGACACAATGCCAGCACTACATCGCAATGACATCTTTCCGCTCTTACAAGGCACTGAACCAGCTACCGTCGCCGATAACTTCCTGTCCGACACGTCCAGTCCGCAGCCCGACCATCCAACCTGCAGCGACCAACGATCGTCCAGCAACGACCAGCAGCGCCCAGCGATCGTCCAGCATCGACCAGCAGCGACCAGCGATCGTCCAGCAACGACCAGCAGCGACCATCTGCAACGACCAGCAGCGATGACCAATCCGCCCGTCGACTGGACCGGAGCAGGCGCACCACAAATGCTCTCCGTCGTCGACATGACCGGAACGACCACACCTCAACTTCCTACCTTCGACACTACCGGAGCTGACGCAACTCAATATCTCGTTGTTGATATGACCAGTCCATCCATCGGCATGGCCATGACAAAAACACCTCAACTTCCCGTCATCGCCACGACCAGTCCGACCGCTCTTCAATTACCAGACCATCTAGCCCACAGCCATTGTAAATAAACTTTGCATTAATCTTACATATCCTCGTTCTGTTGTCCATTTTATTTCACCTGTCAGTTAACACGTCTTTAATTTAAAAATGTTAGTGAGCCTCTTGGGACCTCAGGCTGTTTCACATCGCGCCCGCCTCCTGTGGGTCTACTACACGTTCATTACAACGTATTTTTTTTTTAATGAAGGATATATTCGAAACTTGTTTTAATCTATGATGCCTTTAGAATCAGACAAAAGATCATCAGAGCTCTTATGATTTGGTGTATAAAAATGAACTAGAGCCATTTTTATTCATTAAGTTATAAGAAAACCATTGTTTTGAAAGCGTATATAAAATAAAATTATTTCTTATCACTTAAAGATTTATTCAAACTCATCACGACTTGATGCTTGAAATGAAGAAAGTCTCCAGTCAATTTTGAAGATATACTAAAATCGTTTTCAAAGGATATACAAAATATATTTGATAATGACTCTCTTATTTATTTGAAATCTGACAAAATAAATATCCCTCAACTTGAAAGCTATAAGCAAAATATGTTTATTCAGTTATATATTTACAACTAAATGTTTCTTAGCGTGTTTGAGTGTTAAAGTCCTTGTTTGGAGTTGCTTGTTAAGATGAAAAGAAATCCGATTTCTCCGCGTGTATGTCTGAGAAAAAGAGGCACAGGAGAAAGCGAAGAAGAAAATGTAAATGTCACGTATCTTGGTGATGAAGACGGGTGAATGAGTAAGGGAATTTCTTTTCGCCGTGAACTGTTGCAGTATTTATCTCCTTAAAGCCTTGCTTTGTCTAGAAAATTTGTTTAAACAACTTTAAAGTGATCACGAAACATGTTTTTTTTTACTGTTATTGTTGACGGGAACGTGACCCGTTGGTTGGAAAATGCTAAATATTTATTTTCAAATCATAAATTTATTAATCGGAAGGATTCACGAATCCATCGACTCAGGAGCCATTTCTGTGTCATTTGGTGTTTGACTGTCTTGCTATTTATTTCCGTCTTTGGTCGACAAGTATTACTTTCAAGGCTGGTAAACAAAGAAAAAGTTGCAAAATTTTCGAGAATCTAAAAATAACATACCACCGAATCGATCTTGTTTCCTCTAGTTTTTCACGGCTGAGACTTTATCCGTAAATATAACCCCAACTCCCTGAAGACAGAGGTCTTGTCAGTCACAAGCCGGACAGCGAACTGACTAGGTATTTACAAAAAATCCACACAAAGCAAGATGTATAACAAGGCTGGTTTTTATGTGGGACGATTCCGAGCCCTTAAGTTCGCTCAAAAATTGCCCGTAGACAGCGAATACACGGGGTCGGTTAGCTGTCTAGCTCCCCAGACGAGAACCTGCCCTTCGGCATAGCCTCGTTTGGGTCCCTCTCCTCCCGAAGGCAGAGAGTTAGACAAGCCTTTCGCGTGTTTGAAAGCGAAAAGAATGATTAGATTGTTTTGGATTGTTGTGATAACGGATTCAACCGTTTTTCGTTGACTTCTTGATATATTTGTTGTGTATGTTGGCATGGGAAAGTAGAGATTCTGTTGTGAAAAGTGTTATTACTTCGCGACCACACTGACCAGCTACCTTACAAGGACACATGGCACAGTGGATAAAGGCGTTGGTTAGATCCAGTGACAGGACCCAAAAGAGTGTGAGTTCAATACCTGGTTAAGGCAGTAGAGAACGTTCAGAGGGGAATTAACAGGTGATAACTGATAACTGACATGCATTAAACATAGCACGTGGAACTAGAACAGTGAGCGAAATAAAGAATTAAGTTCGACATTCTAACCACCTGAAGAAGGCTAGAGCGTATAACGGCCGAAACGTTGTAATAAATATGGCGACAAAGATGAGGGCAATAGTCCGAATAATGTAAATAATGTACATAATACCTCATCTCAGGAATATAGACAGATACTGAAAGGCCGAAACGTTTTAATAAATATGGCGACAAAGATGAGGACAATAGTCCGAATAATGTAAAATAATGTACATAATACCTCATCTCAGGAATATAGACAGATACTGAAAGGCCGAAGTGTTGTAATAAATATGGTGACAAAGATGAGGACAATAGTCCGAATAATGTAAATAATGTACATAATACCTCATCTCAGGAATATAGACAGATACTGAAAGGCCGAAACGTTTTAATAAATATGGCGACAAAGATGAGGACAATAGTCCGAATAATGTAAATAATGTACATAATACCTCATCTCAGGAATATAGACAGATACTGAAAGGCCGAAGTGTTGTAATAAATATGGTGACAAAGATGAGGACAATAGTCCGAATAATGTAAATAATGTACATAATAACTCATCTCAGGAATATAGACAGATACTGAAAGGCCGAAACGTTTTAATAAATATGGCGACAAAGATGAGGACAATAGTCCGAATAATGTAAATAATGTACATAATACCTCATCTCAGGAATATAGACAGATACTGAAAGGCCGAAGTGTTGTAATAAATATGGTGACAAAGATGAGGACAATAGTCCGAATAATGTAAATAATGTACATAATACCTCATCTCAGGAATATAGACAGATACTGAAAGGCCGAAACGTTTTAATAAATATGGCGACAAAGATGAGGACAATAGTCCGAATAATGTAAATAATGTACATAATACCTCATCTCAGGAATATAGACAGATACTGAAAGGCCGAAGTGTTGTAATAAATATGGTGACAAAGATGAGGACAATAGTCCGAATAATGTAAATAATGTACATAATAACTCATCTCAGGAATATAGACAGATACTGAAAGGCCGAAACGTTTTTTAATAAATATGGCGACAAAGATGAGGACAATAGTCCGAATAATGTAAATAATGTACATAATACCTCATCTCAGGAATATAGACAGATACTGAAAGGCCGAAGTGTTGTAATAAATATGGTGACAAAGATGAGGACAATAGTCCGAATAATGTAAATAATGTACATAATACCTCATCTCAGGAATATAGACAGATACTGAAAGGCCGAAGTGTTGTAATAAATATGGTGACAAAGATGAGGGCAATAGTCCGAATACTGTAAATAATGTACATAATACCTCATCTCAGGAATATAGACAGATACTGAATAGTGTGAGGTTTATCAAGTCTGTTACCCAATTTCTATTACGTTCCTTTCCTACTAGAATGTCATTTAAACATCACTTGTTCAAAAGTTCTATGGCTGCTGATTGACTCTCCAAACTCTTAAGTGTTCATTCCTCGAAATAATTGGAAATCTTTTCTTTTTTTTTGTACTTGTTTCCATTTTTAATTCTTTGTTTCGTTTGTTTGTTTTTTTTTTGTTTTTTTTTTAAATAGGATTATAAAGGCTTTACTATCGTCCGCTCCATACTCCTTATTTTTGTAATATGAGTATATAGGCTTTGCTATCGTCCGCTCCATACTCCTTATTTTTAATAAGAGTATATAGGCTTTACTATCGTCCGCTCCATACTCCATATTTTTTTAATAAGAGTATATAGGCTTTACTATCGTCCGCTCATACTCCTTATTTTTTTAATAAGAGTATATAGGCTTTACTATCGTCCGCTCATACTCCTTATTTTTTTAATAAGAGTATATAGGCTTTACTATCGTCCGCTCGATACTCCTTATTTTTTTTAATAAGAGTATATAGGCTTTACTATCGTCTGCTCGATACTCCTCCCACTTCTTTTGAACAGGGGTATAGGCTCATAACTCGTTTCCTGTTTAGGAAAGGGTTCCAGGTTCCTTTCCTCTTCTCAGGTCTTTAGTGTTGCTGTCATAATTTTTTGTGATACGCGTGGATGGTGACAACGTTTCTTCAAACTAAGGGCATCGGGTTTGCAGTTTTCTTGTTGATGTTCCTGACTGGTAGTTAGGAGCGCAGCGTCCTGAGAGGCTGTTCTGATCAACAGTTGCATAATATCAGGGTTCTTGCAGGGCCATATCACGTATGGATGGGTGTTCTTGTAAGCATCTCTGTTGGTCAACCCCGAGGTCACACTATGTTGCAGTCTATGCCAGTTCCCTTCCTTCCCATTAGACGACCGATTGTTACTACTACCCTAGGCTTTTTCTTACCAAAACAACACATCATGGCTATAAGATACCAAAGATTTAAATCTAAACCAACTAAAAAAACTTACAAAAAAACAGCTAAACCCCTCAACCTTCCAGCATTTCTAAGAAAGCATTTGCAGTCACCGTTGGAGTTGTAAATAAATATGGACTAATTACAATCAAGGACGTAATAAAAGGTATATTATCAAACATTCCCACTGAAATGTGTGTCAAAGCACTAAATTGTACTGCTGATCAATAGTTTTTGTGCATCAGTCTTGCGTTTGAACCGTTGGAGATTGTTTGGTAAACTCCGAATAAATGATTCCTCCCATACTAGTGTTAACATAACTTTCAGTCATTCTCTCTTTTTTAATGTTAACATAATTTTGACTCACCCTCTGTGTTTATATATATATATATATATATATATATATATATATATACTAGCAGTAAAACCCGGCGTTGAAAAATGTAGGAAATCCGATCCCGTATATAAACGAACACACACACACACACACACACTCAAACAATCTGGGTTTTATAATAAGTATAGCTCGCTATGAGTTGCCCCCCTTTCATTTTGGCGACAAAATCGTGTTTTATCGTGTTTTCAAATTGATTTCGTGCAAAAACAATTGTGTTTTTCCAATTTTGGGCGCTGTCAGAACCACCGTAAGGTAATTTTACATGGTCCTGTGAAGTTTTGTTGAAATCGGTTGAAAAATGTAGGAAATCCGATCCAATATATAAACGTACAGACACACAGACACACACACACAATCTGCGTTTTATAATAAGATATATAGTTTTAAGATGTGGTA